GGGTATCAAGTGCCAATAAATTACTGTGGGAGTTTGCCTTAAACAACCCCAAAGTAAGAATGCATGCCATAGCCAGCACTTGGGATAGAGATGGAAAGAACCCAGGGGAAGAGAGAGAGAGGTCTGCATTTGTATAACTTCTCTAATTGTTAACAGCTGCCTATATATTTCTAAAGCTACCATAAAGATACACTAAATATTTCAACAGATGCACATATTTCTCTTAAGATGACTAAGATAAATGTGAGGTAGCATGAGAGTGCTCATTTAAATGTCTGGTATACAAGGGGTATGTCTACACCCAGCCGCTAGTTCGGCGGCTGGGAATCGAAGTTCTGGGTTCGACTTATCGCGTCTTGTCTGGACGCGATAAGTCGAACCAGGAAGTGATCGCCGTCGACTGCGGTACTCCAGCTAGACGAGAGGAGTACCGCGGCGTCGACGGGGGAGCCTGCCTGCCGCGTGTGGACCGAGGTAAGTTCGAACTAAGGTACGTCGACTTCAGCTACGTTATTCACGTAGCTGAAGTTGCGTACCTTAGTTCGAATTGGGGGGTAAGTGTAGACCAAGCCAAGGACTCCTTGGTTTTTTTGCTGATACAGACTAAGATGGCTACCACTGAAACCTGTCACCATGCAAGGCAGTACAACCTCAGTTACAAACACCAGAGTTACAAACTGACCAGTCAACCATACACCTCATATGGAACTGGAAGTACACAATCAGGCAACAGCAGAGACCAAAAAATAAAAAAGCAAATACAGTACAGTGGAGTGTTAAATGTGAACTGCTAAAAATAAAGGGAAACCAGCATTTTTCTTCTGCATAGTAAAGTTTCAAAGCTGTAGTAAGTCAATGTTCAGTTGCAGACATTTGAAAGAACAACCATAAAACTTTGTTCAGAACACAAACATTTCAGAATAACGAACAACCTCCGTTCCCGAGGTATTCGTAACTCTGAGGTTCTACTGTACGCTTAAAAGCCCCAAGAGGATTGTACATGCAGACTGTGTCCATACAGGGTGTCTCTGGGATTAATGGCCACAAAATATGAGTCAGAAAATTCAGACTAAATTCAGAGATGACAGTGCAGACCTTAGCTCTTGAGATAAACAGAATCCTAAATATGGCAATGGGCTTCTCCTCCCCCACTGGCTGGGTGCAAGCAGGTGGTTTGCGAGAGAGGCTCGGGGAATGGAAAGTGAAGGTAAAATTGTTCTACGATGGCCTCATCAGTAGCTCGCTGTAAGGAGGCAGGTGCTGCTGTGGGAGGACGCTGGCTGCATTAAAGGATTTTGGTTTTTAAGATGTCTCAGCTCCTTCGTTCAAATACCCTGACGGTACGGTGGGTGCTGTTACTGTTCAGCGTTGAATAAAACATTAATTCTATATTAACAATAATATTTGATAGGCAGCATTGCCGTCCCAAGTGTCAAAAGTTATGAATCCAACCCTCAAATCATGAGATTTTAGAAAATAATAAATGTTCCTTTGTATTTGCCTTCTGGTTGAGAGCCTGCACGGGCCACGTTTTCAAGCTTGTCTCTGCAATCAGGAGGGCTGGACATGTTTTTTAAGTAAAGCTCAGATTCTGATATAAACACCCAATTCTAGTGGCCAAGGCTTTAATTGAAACAGCCAATATCAGGAGACTCACTGAAATATCATGATAGCCAGCAGTGCTGGCGGTGAATAATATAAAGGCTCCTTGCACTTCCCGCTCTATAACTCAGGATACACATATGTAATATTTCATATCTGCTGATTTGGGGTCTGACCCTTCTGTGTTCAGATCTCCATTGATTTGTATGTGAAGAACTGGGCCCATTGTGTGATTGTGTAACACACCACCAGAAAGTACATTCTCAGGGGAGACCAGGGTCAATGGGGCCATGCAGATTCTCACTCTGAATTCTCTCACTTTTATGAAGTTTAATATTGTGAGGCTCTACAGAATGTGGGTGACCATTTATAGCATTATTGATACCAATATTACAAAATTGCAATGGCTCTTACAAGGCATCAGTGGAAAAGTGATGATTTGCTAAATATGATAAGCTTATTTATATGTACGCATCATCTTTGTATTGTGAGTTATAAATATATATGACATATTGATATCTCAAACTTGTGCTGTGTATCTGGGTGACACCCCGAGACAGATTGGCATCAGCAGTATCTGGCATGTTTGCTGGCCCATGCCATCATTGAGAGAAGCCAGGGACTACCCCTATGAGTCAGCAGGACATGTAGGGACATGCCTGTGGCCAGGGGACTCCAAAAGCTTTTCCGTGCCATGTGCTGTGAGCTTGTGTTTGGGACAAAGGAAGTACAAGCCACATGGCAAAGGATATAAAAAGGCAGCTGCATCGTCTCAGTTTTGTCTTCAGTCCTGCTTCTCACCTCTGGAGTAACTTTTCTATAAACTGAAGCTTTGAACAAAGGACTCATAGATCCACCTAAGCTGTGGATGTGTTCCAGAGAGACTTTACAAGCCAGCAAAATCACCAATGCTGCTAAGAACCTGATATATGGACTCCAAAGTCATATGTATGTATCTGATTGCTTTGATCATTTAATAACTCTCCTCTTGTTCTTTTCCTTTATTTTATGACAAACCTTTAGTTTTTATTACTAAAGGATTGGCTGGCAGCGTGGTATTTTGGGTAAGATCCAAACTTGTATTGATCTGGTAATGTGGCTGGCCCTTTGGAAGAATCTACTCTCCTTTTTACAGCCTACCCTGACCTTAGCATTTTCAGTGTGGGCTCCCCTAGGCACCTCAGGTCACAAATGACAGTCTGGTCCTTCGGTCTTTACTCAGACAGAGCTCTCAGCTAAGCCAGTGGGAGTGTTGCCTGGATCTGGACTGCAGGCCTGGGTCCCTGGTGGTTCTATTACACTGACTTAGTTTTTTGGCATATTCTACATGAAGCCTGCCTAGGAGAATATCTAGAAAAAATATAAACACACAATCATACAACACCCCACTGACATCTGCCACATCCATTCTATCCCCGGCGGGTGGGCACTGACCTGCTATGGAAACTGTTGATATTTTCCCTTGGTTGAGGAACGGGTTCCTGACAAAACAGGACAAGTCCTGGTTGGAATGTTCTGTTATAACAATAGAAATCCGGGTGTGAAACAGGCCATTGGCCTCCTTGGATATTTTTTCAGAGGCAGATGGTAGCAACTGTCCATGGCGATCTCTCCACTGAGCCTCAGGTTCTGGGTACCAGCCTGCCGATCGACACACAACCCGGATCCCTCCGTCCTGGTAACCATCAACAGAGATGTGGGGGTCCGAGCCTGAAACTAGAGACAAATGGAATAAGCCTGTGTTAATTCTATGCATTTAGGAAAATGAACAAGAGGAGGAAGAATGAATTAATTCTCCCTCTGCATGCACAGAACCCAGGGTCACTGGAAACTATGTAAACATACATGGCAAGTGTTTCTCAGAGGGTTGGGAGATCTTTTCCCTCCTCTATAATTTCCTGAAACTGATTTCTACCTGTGGAACTTAGATCCTGAGTGTATCCTCAATGGAAAATAATAAGGCAATTCCAATAGAAAGCAAACAGAGAAAACTGTAAGTTAATGAAGGAAGGAAGGAATATGTCCACAGCTCTTGAGAAGTGTTGAGCAGCTCAGACACTTCACTGGGAGTCACCATAGCTCAGCACCAACCCAACTCTGGTTCATAAAATGGAAACATCTTGGGAACATTGTACAGAACACACTGTGTATTTAAATAAACAAAATTGAGAAAGTGACCTGATCGAAACAGAGCCTGGGACATGGGAATGGTGGGGCTGTTTTAATAGCTAAGGAATGTTTTAACTCTATTCCATTCTATTTAAAACAAAGCCAAGTTTAGAAAAATAAGAAGAGTGAAGAGCACAGATGTGAAATTCCTCCAGTTCATTCTCAGAGAGCAGCTGCTGCCCCTGCTGCTCAGTAACTAGAATCTGAAAGGGGATTCTGGGTATCAATGTGAATGAGAAACATCCAGAGTCCTCTCACCATGAGCTCTCCTGCCCCATTTATTACACTGCTAGGAAAGTAAAACAAACTACAGACCTGCCACCTGCAGTTCCAGTAAGGCATCTTCATACGAGACACTGGACTGAAAGAAACACGTGTACTGTCCATGGTCAGAAAGCTGGACATTGCGTATTCTCAGGGAAACACTCCCACTGGTGATGTCATCTTTCAGCAGCTCTGTCCGTCCCTGATATCCCGGCATCTGCTGTCCATACTGATCCTGCCCATCCTTATACTGGTGCACAACTGCAGAGAACTTGAATCGAAACCACCTCAGCTCCATGTTCTCAGCGCTCATCCTGGGGGAGAGGTGGCAGGGCAGGACGGCCTCCCCACCTACGGAGGCAGTGATCGGATGGCCAGGTCCCCTCACTGTGAACTGTTCTGTGAAATGTATCAGGGGGGAAAGAAAATTAAATTGGAGAGGAACCAAGACAGACAGAAATATAAGTGCAGCAGGGTGCTTATTCCCATCTTTGAAGTGTTCAAAAATCAGGAGTCAACCCCCTGAAAAATCATGGGATTGGCTTAAAAATAAAGAGTTTTTTGTTTTTTTAAATCATAACGTTGGGCTTGTTCTCTGCCTTCTGATTTCTGAACCTTTAAAGTTCACTTGGGTCACATTTCCAAGTATTTATCTGCAAACATGAGGGAGAGAAACTTACTTTAAAACAAAATGAAAGCTGAGATTCTCACCTAATCACAGGCCTCCAGGAGTTGTGGCTTTAATAAACACATCAAATATCATGAGACTTGTGATAAAATTCTGTGAGCTGGTAACATTGAGGGGACGTCTACACCTTGAGCTGGAGGTGTAATTTCCAGTGGGGGTAGACATGCACCAACTAAGTTCTGATTGAGCTAGTGTGAGAAAGTGTAGCCGTGGTGGTGTGAGCGGGGGGATGGGTTAGCTCTCCAGGTATGACCCAGGGCCCTTGGCACATATTCAGGGAGGCTGCTCATGCCACTGAATCTACTCTGCCATTTATAGCATGACAGCTTGATCAGAACTAGTGCAGGTATGTCTACCCCATCTGGAGACAGCAAGGAGCAACATCTTACATATTAAAGGCTTCTACAGTGCTAACTAATGGCTTAACGGTGTGGGAAGGGGAGGGAGAGCTGGAATGTTGGAGGGGAAAGGGGGGGGCTACACGTTGTGAGGGATGGTGCGGCAGGGGGTGGAGAAGGAGACAGACTCAGCAGTTTTGTCTCACACTTCCAGTCACTGTAAGCACCACAGAACTGTCACGATGCTGGGACATGGGCTGTGTCTTCGATTTCTCTTGCCAGCCCTGTTAGCAACTACACACTGCAAATACTTCAAAGCATGACCCTTATCCCCATTCCACTGTAACAAAATGTATAGGTGGGGCAAGGAGTGTTGAGGAACAACATAGCAACCATGTGGCCTAGTGGAGAGACAACTGGACTGGGACTATTCCTGGCTCTGCCACTGGTCTGCTGGGTGACCTTGGGCAAGTCTCGTCACGGCTCGGTGCCTCAGTTTCCCCATCTGTAAAATGGGAATAATGAATAAAGTTCCTTGAGCTCTATTGATGAAAAACATTATATAAAAGCTAGGGCTTTTTGTTATTATCTAGCTACAGTCCTGTATCAACTGCAAACATAAATGAGAACTACAACTGTCTAAATGGCCACTAATGTCTACTACCAAAGAGTCCTCTTTCTGTTCAAGAAACTAGGAAGGAAAGTCACTGACAAAATCTTTGCTACTGCAGAGTTAAGGTTCCCAACGGTATCTCACGTCCTTCCAGAAAATTGAGTTCAGCAAAACTCAGGCCTCTGAAAACTAGCAAATGCAGAGTTAAGGTACATGCCAAAGCGACCTTAACTCTGCCCTGTTTGAGCGATGACCTGATACACTCATGGCGCACAGACCCACACCTTGCCTGTGCAGATAGAGCACATCACTCAGGGATCAAGGCACATGACAACTGCAGCACAAACACCTTCTCCTTGCTAAGGGAACATTTGTTTTAGGTGAGCTGCACTGTACAGGAGCTGCGCTGTACAGGAGCTACCCACCCCTGTTCTGCCCTCAACATTGAGCGACTGCCCAGAAACAGCTCCACATTTGTTACATCTTACAAACCCTTCACCCCCTTGAACAGCCCCTCCACCCTCACTCCCAGGATTCCATCTAGCACTACATGTTCCCTTACCTAGCATTAAACACACAGACAATCCCCATGGCAAGCAGACCCCTGAGCCCTACTACTGACACAACTACACAGCTCAGGGCTGAAATGGGGGATACTGGATCCCTCAAGGTACACCTGCATCTCTCTCCTTTCATCACATGCCTGGGAAGGGGAGGGCTCAGACCGAGATCTCCTCATATCATAAGCACAGCTCTACCATGCTGCTCCAGCTAATGTCTCCACCATTCAATACAGCTGCACCTAACACAGTGACTGCAGCTGGAGTGTGTAGAGATGTGTATAATTATAATTTTCAGACTTTCCTTCATAAGGAACAGTATTATGAATACCATAGGTGCCGACTCCATTGCTGATCCAGGCCTGGAGCACCCACAGAAAAAAATAGTGGGTGCTCATCACCCACCAGCTGATCAGAGGGCCCCAAAGATCAGCGCCTCCTACCTGCTGCTGATCAGCAGCGGGCAAGGGGTTCTGGGATGGAGGGGGAGGAGCAGGGGCGGGAAGAGGCAGAGCAAGGGCAGGGAGTGCTCAGGGGCTGAACTGGGGCAGGAGAGGCAGGTTGGGAGTGTAGCCTTGGGGAAGGGGGCAGAGCAGGAGTGGGAAGGGGTTGTCATAACTATAAAGGGAAGGGTAACAGCCCTCCTGTGTACAATACTATAAAATCCCTCCTGGCCAGAGACTCCAAAATCCTTTTACCTGTAAAGGGTTAAGAAGCTCAGGTAACCTGGCTGACACCTGACCCAAAGGACCAATAAGGGGACAAGATACTTTCAAATCTTGGTGGGGGGAAGGCTTTTGTTTGTGCTCTTTGTTTTGGGGGTTGTTCGCTCTTGGAATTAGGAGGGACCAGACATCAATCCATGCTCTCCAAATCTTTCTGAATAAGTCTCTCATATTTCAAACTTGTAAGTAACAGCCAGGCAAGGTGTATTAGTTTTATCTTTGTTTTCTCAACTTGTAAATGTTCCTTTTGCTAGAGGGTTTACCTCTGTTTGCTGTAACTTTGAACCTAAGGCTAGAGGGGGTTCCTCTGGGCTCTTTGAATCTGATTACCCTGTAAAGTTATTTTCCATCCTGATTTTACAGAGATGATTTTTACCTTTCTTTCTTTAATTAAAAGCCTTCTTTTTAAGAACCTGATTGATTTTTCCTTGTTTTAAGATCCAAGGGGGTTGGATCAGTGTTCACCAGGGAATGGGTGGAGAAGTCTCTCAAGGCTACCCAGGGAAGGGTTATAGTACTTGGGAGGGAGATATTCTGAGGGGGAGGTAGGCAGAGTTTCCCAAATAACTCATAAATAATTTGGGTGGTGGCAGCAAAAGCAGATCTAAGCTGGTAGTTAAGCTTAGAGGTTCTCATGCAGGTCCCCACATCTGTACCCTAGAGTTCAGAGTGGGGAAGGAACCTTGACAGGGATCAAGTGAGGATGGGGCCTTGGGGGAAGGGGCAGAGTGGGGGCAGGTCCTCTGGGCGGAGCAGCCCCCAGGGAAAGGTAAAAGTTAGCACCTGTGAAATACAGGAATTTAGAGATGTGCCCTGGAAGCTGGGATTGAGAACAGAGTGTAGCCGTGTTCAGCAATTCACTACAGACACTCTCTGGTTTGTTTTATTAAACGTTTTATTCCTTTCTAACAAACTGGTTTGTTGTTTAATGAACCCCAAGATCATTACATGGTGTCAGAAGTGCTGAATGAGAAGGAGACGACAGTCGTTTTGAAGTTAACTCCTGTGTTTGCAGCTGAAAGCAGAGACAAGGGGAGCACATGCAGCAGCAAACAGAGAAGGACAAAGGCTTTTGGATGTATTTTGTGAGCACAATAGTAGCTTGATTAGCTTAAGATGGGGAAAAAAGCCAAAAATGGATGTGTCGCAACTTCCACTCAGTCTGCAATTGTCAGACAATGTTGCAGAGAACTGGAAAAAATTCAGACAGAGATTTGACTTGTATTTAGCAGCCAGAGGGCAGAAGAGAAAAATGATAAAGTGA